ACTAAAGTACCCGGTTTAGTATGAACATGGTACTGTTAATTCAGTAATGAAACCAAGAGGTGGAACGGGTTTGAACTAAGAAAATTCCAAAGTAATTTTCCAAACGTACTCGAAGATTTAAGGCGATCAATTAACACCGATTATTTAATCACCAATGACAAACGCACGAAAACTATAGGCGTTTTATGGATTCAATTCTTGGATGGCGTCGAATATTCGAACCAGCAATTAACGCCAACAACAAAATTTCCATTGAAACGGTCAATATTGTTATTTGTAGCAAAAATGTTTGACCCTGATAGGGATTACTGGGCCCAATCACGACAGTGAGGGAAGATAAGTCGGCAAAAATCATGGCAATTAAATTAAACTGGGACGAATCGATCCCAAGAACTTTATAGCACCTGGTTCAAACTTATGAAACAAATGAAAAGTTGATAAGCATTTTTATACTATTTTTCTTGATACTAAGATATTTTCTTGGGTCGTATAAGTTTATCGCGTTTGAAATTGTCAAAACGTCGAAAACGATTCATCAACGAAGATCGCTGTTGTTTAGAACCGAGTCAGAAGCGTAGGCGGCGAATGTCAATGTAATGGGTAAATCTGATTTTTTCCTATGAAAAATAATGCCGAAGCTGCGTACTCCAGCATGTTGGATGCATGTTGATCCACAAAATGGTTTTCCGTGCCTGGTTATGGAGCTCATTTCTAAAAAACTGAATACGGCCCGAATCGTTACTTGTAAAGCTTGATTTCAGTATAAGTTCAAGTGCAGCAACTTTTATTTTCTTAGCATAAATAAATTTCAGTGTGATAAATACATAATCTAAAGGTATGGCAGAAAAATAAGAAGAAGGCAGGCACCCTAAGAAGAAGAAGAAAAAATAATCTAAGAAAAGATTTAATCGATGTGAATTCTTTCAAGAGGTCATCTTGAAGCATTCTATTTTCTTAACTTTTTAAGAGCACGATGGAAAAACTATCCACAAAGGTAACGTCGACATATTTTAAACCAATGCCAATGTGCGTTTTGAAAAAAAATATGAAAACTACAAAAATATGTAGGTATATATTTTTTTAAAGAAAGAATTTCCATCTGTTTTGATCGTTGAATGACTATACTGAACATACATCTTCAATTTCTATTTTCTTGCGGAAATTAGCTCTAAGTTTGAAACACTCTGTACAGTTGAACACTAATATGATAATGGAAAGTAATGTAGATCAAATTGTACATTATAAGGAAACCATGATGCTTTAGGTATAAGAAAATCTAAGCGTCACACATTTCATGGATTGTTACAAAATTTGCTTCTATTAGCGAAAAATTACAAAAAAAACACACGATCCTTTTAAATAATGAGTTTCATCCAATTTCCTAAATAGTACAAACTGATTTTCAATTTGCCTCAACAGACGTGTTAAAAGTCAAAAGCGCCTCTTATTTCTTTCAGATTAAAAATAAAGCCAGGTTATAAGGTTATATTTTCCGCATGAAAAGTATTTGCTCTTTGTGCACTTAGCGGATTAGAGCTCTCTGGAAACACAATATTGTGCTGAAGATTTTCCGCTTTAGGTATAGAGCAAAGAGCGTCCTCTAGTACATTTTCACTGTATTTCGCGAATTTCCTTTTCCATATCGATTCATGGAAACCTAGGCGAATGGAGTCGTTGTAGTGTTTGGGAAATTTCCGCAAGATGGCACCTAGATTGGGAAGAGAATACTAGGCCATACACAATTTTAAAGATTCATTTATATTCTAATAAAATAATATATACAAACGGGAAAAATTTGTAATAAAAACTGATACGATTTTTGTGTTACTTGTGGGGCTTCAGATAATAAATGGTGCCCTGCGTTTTTTTAAATAATTATATCAATATATCATGAAATTAAATTTATATTTTAATTTCAAGAATTATATATATTAGCACCTAATATAAAATATTGAGGTTTGAATAAAGTATTAAACCTCCAATTAGTAGCCATGTTTCTAAGTTCATTTTAAATTGGGAATGAGCAAACCTCAATGTGTTTTCTACCGACAATATTTTCAAATTCATAGATTTCTTCTGTTTTTCGCATTATTCACCTTTAAATCGCAGAAAAATTTAAAAATTCAATAAAATCTTGTTACCTGAGTTTTATGATTAAGTCATCTAAATTATTTAGTAACTACCTCAGTTTTATTTTCATCTCATCATAGCCGAAAAATGTCCAATTGCGTATAAATGTCTATTAATATTAAGAATTGACACATAATACTTATATTACAATATCAAAGGGGAATTATTTCCCGAATATAAATATTCTATATTTATAAAGCTTTTCTATTTCAAATGTCGTTAATATGTATTAATATCTGTTTCTTGTTGTAGTATAAAATATGGCCTTATGCGAAAATGAGAAGTACATTTTGACGGGTGTTTTAGAGGCTTTAACGGGTAACGACTTTTCCCATTGTAATATCCGATATTTATGTTCCGTAGATAATAGCAAAATTTAAGTAGTTGTAATATGAGCAATTTAATGGCTAACAGCAAATAGTCGATAACTAGCACACATTAATCCATTAATGGATGCTTCAATTCAAAATATTTTCAACTTTGAAAACTCATACCTTAGGTTACTTTTCAAATTGGCTCAAATTTTAACAATACCTTAGTACCTAATACTTAATGTACAAAACTTCCAGTCATAGTAAAATTACTACAAATTTCCTTTCAAATATGAGCCTTTCAAGAAATGTTTCAGTGTTTTCTACGATCAGTCAATCTATAAAATGAAGTTAATCCCTTTTTAATAATAAGATACTTTTTTAATGTGTTTATGTAAAAAGATGTGTGTAGTGAAATAAGGAAACTGTATCTGATCAAGGTAATCAATATTTGAAAAATTACAGGAGCATAAATAGGAAATTTCCCTATTTTTTTTCAACAGAGTCTTCTTATTTCTTTACCAATAATTTTTTTCTGGTATCATTACAATTATGCAGGAGGGTTCAAGTTGAAGGTCAATAATTTTAATAAATGAAAGAACACCAAGAAGCTTTCATTAGAGAACTTTATTCGCATGTTTCCTAACAGGGATACAACACAATAAATTAGAATTTATCAGAAGATGTCATCATTTAATTTGATTCTAATTTAATCAGTCATAAAAATTGACTTAAAAACCATTTTTTCCAAACTTTCACAACTTGCAGTTCTGTTAAAAACATCTGTAGTCAAAGTTGTTTTTGTTTTACCAGAACAACCATGTAAAATAATTTTTAATAGAAAAAATTAAATCATTGTTCGATAAAAATAATCAAAAAAATACTGTAGTAGTTTTCGTTCAAAATTCAGGCAATTCTTCTGCTTGTTTTGACTGAGAGCATTTACAGAGTTCAAAAATGTAGTTGAACAGTTGTGTAAAACTAATTTTTAAATTACGCAACAATATAGTTAATTAGCACCTGTAAATAACTTTTGTCTTCTTAAAGGTTTTGCCTCCTCAACATAGGAACCTCCTCCTGCTTTTTGTGCAAAGCAAGAAAATTATCGGCTGGGACGAAAACGCCAATAAAAAACAAATATTTTTGGACGGATCCAATGACTAATAGTAAAATATTGTTTGTCAGGACTTGGAGGAGGCCGGCAGTGCAAGCCTACATGCATTGATGAATTCATATTTTATTATTATAAAATTATGTTCAGTTAATAAGATTCGCAATGTTTTTTTTGTAATCTATTATATATTTTAGTCAATATTCAAAAATATACATATCGAAAGGCCATGCAAAAAAAATTCGACTTTGGTGACAGTAATAGATTTTCACTTTCAAAGAAATAAAACACCTTCTATTCAGTTATTTAAGGTAGCATTTTACTTCAGTTAGTTGGCTGATTATTTCCACTCTGAATATGCACAAAAATTATTTCTACACCAAATGCTCAAAACATAATAAATAAAAAAATAGTACATACCGCACGGCAATAGTTATAGTATTTTGCTTTTGCAACCAAATAAGCTTTCCGTTCTTTCAGAAGGTGCGCCAAACGCTGAGTTCTCTGAGCTGATGTCAACGGCCCATCGACACCATCATCATTGAATGTAATTTCCGGAGGAATGGGTAAAAAGTCGTCAACTGGAGGTGGTGACTGTCTTGGTGTTACCGTTGACAAGGGCACTGTTTTAGCAATTAAAGTTTCACTTCGTACACTCCACTGACTACTACCGTATTTTTTTTGATTCATTAGGTCACCAATACTTCCACGGACACTCACTGTTGTAGTACTGCTTAACAAGGATCTGGAGACGGTTGGATATGAGTGAGAAACCACAAACAAAGGCATAAACGAGATTTTAATGTATAAAATATAATAATGCTAAATGTTTAACCCGAAACATAGACTGTTTTTCCAATATTACTATTGTTTTTTTTATTCAAGAACATTTACACTGTCCAGATCGGAGATCAATCGTTTTACGAGTATAGTATGTTTAGAAAATATATTGAAATTTACTGTTAAATTAAACTCCCTCGAGGAATGCATAGAGGTACACGTGAATGTGATTTTACCAATGTTTTTTACCGCTCAAATTGGTATATATTTTTTTCTTTACAACTTTTATTGCTCACTTTTCAGGAAATCAGCCAATATTAGTTCTGTATATGTATATATGTATATGTATGCCAATATTAGTTCTGTATGTTTGCACTATACTCTCAAGTTTTCTCTGTTTTCACACTTGCAACAACAGATTTACGCAGTAAATTGAAATGGAATACTGACAACAGAAACATAATCCATGTGCTTTCTACACATAATCCATGTGTTTGTTGGATCTGTAATTTATTTTTAGAGTTTCATAAATAGCTATTTAAATTTAAAATAGTACTTCAAATAAATATTGTTAGGACAAACAGAAGGAAAAATTTTAAAGAAGAAAATGCAATAGTTTGTTGGAATTTGGCTAAATTTTTTTGGCATAAATTGGCATTCAACGTCTGAAGTTTCTGCTGTAAATATATGAAAAAATATATCCCACTGATTGGTTCCTATTTCATCATTTTTGATATATTCCATTTTTTAAAGTCTCTTACTATACGCCCCTTATTTTATTTTAATTAAAGTTGAAAGTTCGATATTTCCATAGTTTTATGGAAGTTTACTCATTACTTTAGATAAAGCGTCTATAATTTTACGTATTTTGCAGATAACCGACATTAAAGATTAATTATTAGAAATAAATATGTTATAAACAAAAATTAATATAAATAAGTCCCGGATGGAAGTAGAAATTTGCACATTAGCATACGTAAATTAAGTTGTTAAATGTTAACTATTGTTCATTAAATTTGTGGAAATACGTGAAAATTTGACGATTCTCAGATTCTAAATTCGATGTTCTAATTTAAGAGAGAAATTACAATTGCTCATCCAAACGTATTACTTTATGATCAGCCTCGATTTTTAATCTCCGTATTAAAATAATCTATAAATTAATTATATAAAAATTGAAAAATTAACACATTTAGGAATTGGCCTTGCGGATTATTTGTATCTGTTGATTAATTGAATAATTAGAACCTGTTCCTGATCATTCTTTGCGCCAATAGAACTTCTGGAAGTACTGCCTCATTTATTCTTTTGACAATTCATTATTGACTCTTCCACTGGTTTTTCCTAATATTTTCCCTTATTTAAGACAACGGATTTATCATCGAAGACTACAAAGATTTACGAAAAAAACATGTTCATATATTATTTTTATGTTTAGCATCAAAATACGGATATAACTAGGTTTATCAGTTTCTCACTCTTTCCAACCAAACTAACCTGGACATATAAGGACTGTGAGGCACTGAAGCCGGACTGGCAGACAATTTATGATTAGCTGTTGAGGATCTCACTAAATCGGGAATATTTCCTGGTAATGCAATTTTATCGATGTCAGACATACTGGAGCCACGACGCATCCGTAGCCTATCTTCGGTTTCTGTCATTTTCACTGAAACTTTCTTCCGAATTCGTTCCACCGATCTGGTATGATGCGACGGCGACTTCATGGTGAACGATTTTATTGCTAAAATTGAAGTCCAGTCGCTTGTCCAGTGATGATTTGCACTTTTCCGCGGAGAGTCATGCACTTGGGTCATTACCGGATTTTTTAGAAATAACGTTTTAATCCCGAAATACTGGAAAGCTATTACCAACTCAAATTAATTTCAACTTCATACAATCAAAAATATTGTTCGTTTGAAACTTGAAATATTCAGTTTCTGCGAAAGGACCACATGACTTGGATATTCTATCCTATAATTAAGAATAATATTGTAAACATTGGGTTTAGAATATTGAATAGAAGGATCCGTGTAAATCATTCACGTAAAACTTCCTAATTTACACATTTCATCAAATGAGCAAAAATTTCTAATAATTATTATGAAATCTGGCGGTATACAATTGAAGAAGAGAATTTCAGCAGAGTTAAAAGAATGTCGTCGAAACCTTGATACCAGAAAAAACTGCAATGATCAAATCCCTGCATCCTCTTGGCCAATAGACTTTATTTTTCGTTCATCGTGTTTATTTATTCATTTATCGCAAATTTTTACTTTGTTTTTTTGGCTGATCTCTTCATGTCCAGTTGTTTTAATAAATTTAGCAAATTCCTCAATTTAGCTTCATCATATTCACAACCTTTGATTATGATATCTAATTGAGAACTGAAGTAACCCATTGATCGCCATTAAAGTGATTCCGAACATTCTGCACTTGACAATGATAGAGATCGGGGTTCCGTAAATAGAAAACCTTTTCACACCGATTGGCAATGGCCAAAATATTGAATATATGAGGGCTGGCAAAGACAATTGTATCTGGGTCAATGTTTTGTAGATATTTTTTCCGCAGGAAGCAGAATTCCCATTAAGTAAATTGCATGCAAGGTGACTACAAATGAACCGGCTCTGAATGCTTATCACTTGTTGAACGATAACTGTTTTACCACAGCTGTTTTACTAATACTTACTCAGCTTTAATGTATTATTATTGTAAATGGAAATGTTATAATCTTTCATTAGCAGATATCAATACTTATGTAAAATAGCTCGTTAATACAGGTTGCCGAAGCATTAGGCCAAAGCACAATATGCATTAAACAAATACGAACAAAACATGTTTATATTTTGTTGATATAGAGGTCAGAAATATGATTGATATTTACAATATTATCTACTTCATTTTAATAAAATATATCTTCCCGTATTTTATCTGCAATTAGTCAAGTTGTTAGCTTAATTGATAATGGGTGCAATATAAATGATCCTGGAAATTCGCGTTTAATGGATAGCAAATATGTTTTCATTTGCAAGTGCTAATCGAAGAGAAATGTTGCCGTCACTCTACCATAGCAAGTGGTTGTTAACCTAATCCTCATCAACGCTTCATTATTTATCCGTCTTGGGATACACGGATACACGAATTTGATGTAATTCAATGCAAAAAAAACCGTATCTATAAAATAATTAGATAAAAGAACAAGCACTAGAAAAAGGAACTTTTCGGGTTAAGTATGCACTTTGGCACATTTATTAGGTCATATGTTGTTGTGCTGCGCTAAAAGCTTTCAGATTTCCCAAGAGGCCTTCATTCAATTTTGTGAGATTTTTGCAATTTGTCGTAAGAATAGCGGCCCTAATTTATCTGATATTGGTTTTTTTGCAGTATCAATAGCAGATGTACATGGTGCACAACAATAAAAATATCAGCAATTTTACCATGTTCGATATTTATAAGGTCGTAGATATTATTTTGAATTACAATGTCGATTTTGCCGTTTTTTATTTTCGTATCTACCACTATTGAGTCAACAAAATGTAGATTAGAACTTAGAAATTTGTGTTAATTTGTAATTTTGCAAACTTTCTTAAAAAAAATTTAAAATAATTATTCAAAGACGAATTAATTTAAATCATTCATGAAAAAAAAATTATGCAAACTATAAAAATCAACTAAACTCCTCCATCAAAACCGTTTGAAACTGTTACGCTCGATGACCTTAAAGTTGAAAACTTGTTGAATTCTACAAATATTGAGATGGAGCTGATTTCACACTTAATAATTATTGGACTTGTTTAGTTGAATTGCAGCATTGACTTGCGAAAACTAAATTAATGCATGATTGAAGTTGGCAAGTAGAAGTAAATTTCACTTGGGCATGCAGATTGCCATTGCAAAATCCATACAAATACATACGAAAGTTATAACTCGATTTGAGGGAATTTTTACCATGTCTGTTATCCGAATATGGAACGGGCATTTGATGTTCCAATATAAGTTTCATATTGAATTATTCTTTATAAATGTCAATTATTCACTTATACTTGCCGCAAAGTGTGCTGGCGCTATAAAAACTTCATACAAATTATATAGACTGTTTACATCACATCAATCCCGAATTATTTTCCAGGATTTTTATGCTTTGGTGTTCTGATATTTCTTTATTTTCATGCATGAACATGTGCAAAATTTCCATGTAATTTCTTCATTTTTAGAATTAAATTTTTAGTGATTCGTGAGTCTCAGGAGCGAATTTTAAAGCCAAAATCCTACTTTTTCAATAAGTTTCTTTTCATAGAAACCTGACTGTTGAGACAATCAGGAAAAGTAAAATTAAAGTGGGTACTTAAAACTGCCAAAAATCCGTATAATGCAATTAAAATTATTTTTCAAATAAAAGACTAATTGTATCCGAAAATTTGAAGTGAAACATACATATATGACCTATAAATCTTATATGGAGTCGAAAATCACTGCCCACTTTGAACGGTTTTTTACAGATAATGAGCCACAAATATAACTACAAGCAAAATCAGCACTCTCAGTTCCAACTTAATAAATAGTATTGATTAGGGTTAGTGGCATTTCCCTGTATTTTTACCCAAAAAATTTTAGTAGTTTAATGTTGAAAGTTTAAATTAAAAAATGTATTTTTTTGCTACATTTTTACTAGTTTTTCTCAATACTGAATATATCTTGCTATAAGTATCTTTGGGCAGTATAATTGCTGTCATCCCATGTTTTTGTTCACTGACTCAAAGTTTGGTAGTAAATATTTTTAATTTCAGAATATCTATCGACAATAGAAATGTGGATAAAAATTTCCAACTTTGCAAACTTTGACAACAACAAGCAAAAAAGTTTACAAAAACTGTGCTCTATTTTTATTAAACTTTTTTGAAACAGTAGTGCATTTGGCGTCAAAATTTTATATAATAAATCAGTTTTTTCATGTAGAATTATTTCGCATAAACGTGATATTAACAGAATTATGTCATGCAAGTTTAGCAAAGATATCAATTTATTTGCAGTTATAGTTACCAAAACTGTGTGCCTCCAGGAAGAGGCATCCATGAAAAAAAAATTAAAATGATAAGACATAAATCAATGCAGTCTTCAATTTCCCTGAATGTTTGTTCCTTATAATTCCACAAGTCCGAAGCACAATATTACTTTTACTCCACTTATGAGGAATTAACAAAAAATCTAAATGATAAATAGATATGCAAAAACATTGCTGATTGTTTTATGATTTTGGATTTTTTTTTTCATTAGGGCATTTCATCAACTTTTAAACCACTGTCCTTAAGCTTCCAATGTTTCAGCCTTCCTGGCTTATTGGCAAAATAAACAGTTAAAAAATGTGGAAACAGTGAAACTTTTAATGTTTATGCATGGTTTTTTATTGTCATTTTCTATTTATAAACAGATTTAATATTTTGCAAACGCTTTATTTGGTGCTCAGAAGTTTATAAATATTTTACATAATATGAAAAAACATGACTCTCACTTCAGCTTGGAGTTTTTGAAATTTATAGAGATCAGTTCAATATTTGCTAGTTATATCGCTCATAGCTAATTCTATAAAACGGACACCAACATTTTTATCAGCCAAATAAATATTTCAATTTTAACATGTTTACCAAATTATGTGCAGCTAAGAAATTCTACTGAATAGTATGTTTGAAAGATCAATTTGGCACAGTAAAACACTGGATTAATTTGAGTTGTTAAAAGCGCACTGTTCATCAATATTTTGACTGGATATCGAGTGAGTTTCACCAAACAGATCGCCGGCAAATATCGGAGGCACTCAAACGCACAAATATTCCCGCTAAGCTTTCAAACGCGTTTATTTTGCCACAAAGGTTAGTCTGCATGGTTCGGTAGTCGATTGCCTGCTAACCCCCTCTCTGCCATCCTGAAAGCTTATTCAGCCAGGATAATCTCGTCTAATATACTTGACGATGCAGAAGCCAGTGGTTTAACCTTATCTAGGTAAATGAATACACATTTTCCACAAACTTAACCAAAAAAATTAACGGACTTTCTTCCTTTGGTGATGCACAAAATATAATTGTTTTCCTCAGATTTAGCTAATTTCCCTAAGCTATTAGCTTCATAGGCGAATTGACAATAGAATTGTAATTCTGCAATACTCTTTTTAATGTATTATTTACATAAATATAGTATATTTTTTATTTAATATCTGGTAAGCAAACAGTAATGCAAACTGTTCTACAACTGTTTGCTTTGGTTGTTTACATTGTAGTAGATAATACATTTTATCTTGCTTCCGCAAATTATTTAAGCTCTTAGATTCGGTTTTTCCAAACGCTTAGTTTATCTATTTCTATAATACCCCAGCTTATAGGGGCCAGAGCATCCAGCTCTATGAGCAGGATGCATGCGTGCATATGCATGGATGAATGGATATTTATAAATTCACGACACGGGAAAATCAGTGTTCTCGCTTGTGAGTGTGATCAAAAATTTATGAAATTTCATATTTTCTAATAAATGGGAAAAATGGTAGATTATTTTTTCTAACAATACAGATTTTAAGTCGGAAGAGTCACGCACGCAAAATTATTAAATCGCCTACATTTTAATAACGCCAGCTTTTTCACGAATCCCTTTCAAAACCCCATCAAGGCACTTGAATCTGGAGAAAGTGGAGGTTAATTCCTTGCTCCAAAAGCACTCTTAAATTGAGATGGCAATAAAGCTTGCGCCGCATAATGTGAAAAAAAATCTTGTTCTGTTATCGATTCATTTGAAAAACGTATAGTTGCTTAAATATTAACGGAAATCATATTGAACATTTATTTTAAAATATCACTGTAGCTATAATTTTGTATTTATATTTTTATAGACGTATTTTTTGCTATGAAATTACATGCATTTTCTACAACGTTGCACTTTTATTCATTGATTAGGTCAAGTATGATCAAATTTTGACACTTATTTATTGAATTCCATATACAAAACGTAACGACTTTGAGAAATTTCGAAATAAAATAAATTATAATTTGAAAACGATTGATTTCACAGCTGAAAGTGAAAATGCAAATTTGTAGCTTTGTAAATTGTCTATCTAATGACGTTCAATGGAATTCTTAACAGATCTGTGGTGATTGGAAGAACATATTTTTTGTATCTTTAACTGTTTTTTTTTGCTTCTGCAGTGAATTTTTAGATGCCTATGTTTTTAAGCAAAATTTTACTAAAATCGCATCTGCAGGGTTTCAAGCTGCATTCCACGGAAATAATGGACTCTCTCACACTAAAAAAAACTGCCCTGTAGATTAGAGATATGTTAAGTCAAAAGCCATGATTCTAATTCAACAGTCAAGATTAGATGCACATGTCGAAAACGACAGTAAAAACCTCTATTTAGTATCTATCTTGACCGACTAATTAAATGAGATGTAAGGGAGATAAACTAGACTAGACTGACGCATGACCAAGATTAACACCTTATTAGTTTTATTTATTTAGGTATTATAGACAAGCTAATAAGTAAATAATAAATGTGTCACCGAAAAGTGAGATATGTTCAAAAAGCAAATTTATAAATTTGCCAACAATATTTAGTACTTATAGCTCATGTTCTTGTCAATCTTTAACATTAGATACACTAAATCGCGTATTGCCCAACTAAGAAGCAGAAGAGAAAATGATAATATTTTACTGATACCAAACCTTTAATCAATTGGGAGGGCTTCCATCAGTTAAAATTTTGTGTTTCAATTGAGTTCCCAAAGTAATCATATAAACATTTGTTTTTAAACTAGACTATTTATTTCATAAGTGTTATCACATAACTGCGCAATTTATCATAGAATTGCTCGACTCAACTTTAGAATGGGACCTCATAACTACGGTTTCCATCGTTCATTTAACACCTTGCTTTTCTTTGGCCCAACAATAAATGTTTCCGCAACACATAAATGGTTATAGCATATGTAGGAATTCTGTGCTGATTCGGATTTCGTTTATCCGAAAACCATCTAAATTGTGAAATTTATAACGATCAGTTCAGCTTCAATAAATAATGCTTTTAACAAGTTAAGAGTGTCTATAAATAAAAAGATATCCAGCAAATACCCCCCAAAGGGACAACCACGCGAACACTGTAGGAGATCGGCACACAACTGCGCTTTAAAAGCTGTTAACCCTTGGATGTCGACATTGAATATTAGAAAAGTATTGGCTTGTATAGGTTTTATTGAAGTAATGACCCTTCTCAATATTATGAGCGTGATACTGCTTCCTCAAGGACAATTTTTCAATTAATAGCTACAACGTTGGGCGAAAATCAGCTTCACCCAACAGGAGTCCTCTTTCTATATTTTGGCTCCACAGGCCACGTATGCATGTAATAATTTTACATGTTAGGATGTCACAAACACTTAATATCATTGTGAGTTTAAATCATTAGTTAACTATCAACTGATTGGGAAACATTTTACTTACATGAATTTGCAGGAGAATCTTGTTGAACGCCCAGAGCCATCGTGCATGTGCAGTCACCTTTTCCTTTTGTTCATCTTCTTCGTATGCAGTTTTCTGTAAATCATCATGCTGCAATTTAGTAATGTGATTTTCCTCGGGAATGTTCTCGCGATAATCAGTTTGTATGGTAACAGTTGGCACTACTGTTGGCGAGTGACGAACTGAACCTCGACGTGGAATTCCTGCAAATTAGTGTTCTTTAATTTATATGTGGTTAGAAGTTCAACTCATTGGGATGATTTTTTGAAATTAAAAAAAAAACCAGTCTGTAAAACTTACAAGCTAACTTTTTGTCTTTTAGCTTCGTTCTGAAGGCGTATAAAATTCAACAGGTTTAAAATTGAGTTATTCCTTAAAGGCGTTAAAGGCTTAGAGAAATACGAAAGAGGCTTCATCAGTTCTTGCATTAATAAAACTAAATTTTAACAACTAAATCAACATGAAATACAGGGTGACTCAAGATTAGGTGCATTTCCTTTAGGGGGGCAGAGGTTAGAGGGGCTAACTTGGGAAGTACGAGAAAAATTTAGAAAATATTTTTTTGAAGATATTGACAGTTAAAAAATCTTACTTATTAAGTATTGCTTGTATATTGAAATGCTCCCATGTCTGACGGAGCCTATTGGCGTACTTAAGCATTTGTAAAGAAAAATTACGATATTTACATCAAATTATGAAAAAAACTATATTGAAAAAGTACTCTTCTACAATTTTTTCTTCTGGTCTGGTGTTTTACAAATATCTCATAAGGTTTTTTTCAGAAGAACTATTTTTGTTTACTATTTTCCTGTACGCCCTAAACGCTGCCGGACGACTCTAAATGACGCCAATTTAGATGATAAACTCCCTATAATGATTTGCGCTGTTCTAAAATAAATTCAAGTGGCAACAGGCATATCTAACATCATTCAATTGTCTTATTAAAGACCAGCCCTTACCATAAAATACCACTTGCATAATTGCATCAACTTAATTTACTTACATGCATTTCAGACGAATTTCATAGTTTTACTATTGAATTTATTCGGACGAATATTTAAACACACCGCCACTAAACAGCATATAATTAAACGAACAGCTCAAAAACCTTTACTAAATTGGGAGTAATATTAAACTTTGCGCAATAAATAACATGCCAGAACGTTCCGGTCGGCATCTTGCTGCCACTTCTAAAACTGGTTTACCGATCAAACAATACACATAGAGTTGAAAGTTTACTTTAACTGTGTTTATTGTAGAATCAAAGGTTTCAGATGGCAACTGATGCCAAGTTGCATGTTGATATAAAAAGTAATTTGGACAAATACTAATTTTTGCAAAAATCTGCAAGATTTAACGTTAAATAAGATGTATAGAAATAATGCTATCTGGAATGAATGTTTAGCCAGATCGACCATGAAACCATGAAACCAGTTAACCATGAAACCAGTTAACCATGAAACGTTTCCAAAGCTCGCCTCTTAAGTGGCACTTTAAATGTTTTTATTGAGGAAATATTTTTTTAACCACCTTTTACAATAACCATTGTAATTGTATTGTGGGTGTATAAAAGACCAGCAAGAAACTTTTTGTATAACTGTTGTTTGCACAAATTAACTGGCGATGAATAATTATTAGCTTTTCCACTTGTACATATAGTCAATTAAGTATCCCTCTATTCTACGAGTCAGCTGGATAGAATGAAACGTTTCTATGTATTCATATAATTTAATACAGTTGGTCAAATGTATGTATGCAAATCGATCTGACAAATCAAAAAAAATAAATCGGTTGAGCAAGTAAAGGGAATTTTTGAGAGTTAAACTCTACAAAATATTGTGTATGGCATCAATAAAAATAAAACGAAATTGACTTTTATTTTAGTTTTTTATATCGTAAACTATTCTAGAGCTCAAGAAAGAGAAACGGGATTGGGATTGTRACTCAGAAGGACGATCCTTGGCTWTCCCTGTATTTGTCGCAGTGTTACAGTTATTTTGTTTATCATTTTTCTGCGCTCGTATAGAAGAMCCTCATATAYCCAACAATGTTGGATAGATTGTGGAGTTGTCASGGTGTCTTATTTTTCCAATTGGTCTTCGAGCCATCTATTCYRTTTTTTGTATGAGTTTTCTCCACCGCGTTTAATTTTASTTTGTTTTCATAGTCTAATAGTCATTTACACRTGGATTTSTATATCTTCTGATTATTTCTGTCTCCGTATTTCGCTTTTGTTTCAATTGTTGTTTTTTGTAGACTGTAATTGCAAGAGAAATATTTATATTGGAGTTGGAAAAGTTGAATTACTTTATATCCATTAAAAAACTGGCTGTTGTTCGTGGCGTTCATATGCGTTGTTTGTATGTTTTGGTTTTGTTTATAATACAATGGTTTATTTTGTTCAGTTGCTTTAGAATCAACTCTTGAGCTTTCGGGTTCATACTTATAAGAAATTTACTCTTAATACTCCTTTTCCAGTTCTATCCTTCATTATTCCAGTGTTCATTCATAAGAAGGACCTCCGTAGCTGTTAACATTGCAGCAGGCAGTGCATTTCAACAAAATATCCTGGCATGACTTATCGTAATAAAAGCTTTAAAAATTAAAATAAAAAATTGCCCAAAATTTATAGAAATACTGTTATTGAACCAAAGAGAGGAACTTAATAAAAACTAGTTTAATTGAGTTACAGTTACCAAAAGTTAAAGGTTATGCAAAATTTTGTTCAAATTTAATGTGTCGTACAGCTTTTTTCATACCTCGATATAAAATTGTAACTGTGAGCACCGTAAAGTTCCGACTGAAATACTATTGTCCTAGTTAGAGTCAGAGTTACAAGCATGATGGTTGTCGTAAGTAAAAGTAATTATAATTTTTCAATAATGTTTTCGATGGTTGAACGAAGCATTTACGTATCAATATTAGGAGGGAAGGAAAAGGTAAGTACGTTTATTAAGTCAAGTTTTTCATACCCTGCAGGCCAGTTTTACAATCTAAATTCACTATAAGGCTGATCTGCAGAACCTGATTGATTTGTAAGATTTAAATTTATTACTTCCACTGACATATTGCACTTAAAAAATGTGAACTTCCATCTTTATTTATCATTATTGTTATATTATTTATCATTATTATTACGCTGAGTCTGTACATAATTCATAGAAGGTATGAAACGATGAAAGAATAATGTGAATTTTTTCAACTAAGTGACTTACACAACTAGGAAAAACATTCTAAAAATCAATAATTTTTGCCTTTTTGAGTTGCCTTCCGACAATATTTGAGAATCACTTTGAAAAGTATATATAATTTTAAATAAAAAGCTTAATTTATATCTCAGATTTCCAATAACTCCATTAGTTCCAAAGCTAATTCAAGTATGAAACATCGCATGATTATGAGAATTTTGCAGAAACTTCTAGAGAGTTTTTCTTCTAGTTTACGAATTGTTCACTTCTTTCGAACCAAAGGTTGTCTAAATTCAAAATTTTTGGTTTTGCATAGTGCTTTTCGAGAAMTTTCTAAAGGAAGGAGATAATTTCTGTAAACAACTGTAATTTAATAATTTTCCTAATTTTTTCAAAGGTGCAGTTGCAGMAAATTTAGATATGACGCGCCCGTACTATTTGTCGAAATTTGCCCACAATTTTTAAATCGAGTAATTGAACAAAAATTGTAGTAAAAAYCATAGCTACTTTAYAACAGCAATTATTTACATTGCCTTTGGGTTTTGGCGGGCAAAAGTTCATTAAACCACGTCGATTTCGTGAATAAATATTTCGTACTGTCCATGCATCCATGGAGAATCATTAAACTATAAATTACAATAACCATGCTTGCAATGTGGATAGCAAATTATTCAATCGTAATATAAAGTGAGTCATAAGTATCGAATGATCCAAAAACTCATTTAATTTTTATAGAATTTATTGTGCATGCAACACCAATTTATGGCAAATTGCTTGGAAAGCCCGGATTGTTGTCGAGTTTGCTGTATTTGGCAAACTGAGTTTATTTTTTAACAGTACCTAACAAAATTTGAATTAAATTGTTTTCAATTCTCTGTATTCCACGAGTTTTCAAATTTTGAGCACAAATATATTTAAAATCCTCCTGCTAGATCTATAAGTGCCCCGTAATAGAGTGATAAGCAAAAGGCGTTGTTGTAGGGATCAGTTCAATCATTTAATGTTTATTAAACCGTTTATGGTGAATGCCTTTATAGACGAAAGTCGATTATAGCGATTTTATAGAATTTCGCCCTTGCGATCTTATGATTGCCAAAAATCTATTCAACATTATTTCCCAATTCTTAAATAAAAGTGCGTTTGCTATGTCTTAACGTAAAAATGAAAGGCACAACTTGTTGTTCGGGCCGGATATGAAAGTACACTTATGACAAAAGTTCTGAGTCATCTTTTACATTGTAAAAAAACTGTTTCTATTGAAATTTAGAATGATGTTTTAATTGAAGTACGTACCACTAGCATCAACTATTGATGGTTTCCTTCCAAGAGTATCCTCAAAACCAGGATAACTATCTGATAGTTTTCGAGAAGATGCAGAATCACTTGTTCGTCTGCCTAGAGATACGGACGATCTCTGTTGCAACGAAGGATGATAGGGATCTACAATTGTTATCTGTGACGAGCCCCTCCGCAAACTACCAGTTTCCTCATCAACAACGCTATCATTTGCTGGAGAGTCATGCTGATTTGTGGACACTTTAGTAACAACCGGCGCCTTCGGATAATCAGATTGGTGGCCACCTAAAATCACATATCGTTCACAAATTATTTCAACCAAGACTAGAAGAAGCCCTCAAGTTCTTCGAAGATTAATTAATGCGGTTCAGCCCATCAAGTACTCACCACCAGTATTTCCAGCATCTTCATCAACATAACTGTCAATACTTTCTTGCGCTTCCAGATACGGCTCTTCTTCGTATTCACTGTACTGTTCAACCAAAGCTCCTCGTGGATACCCACTGATATTATTGGACTGAAAGCTGCCGGAATCTTTCGCAAATTTATTGGTGTCTTGGTCGTATGAAGAAATCGGTTTCGTCGTGTACCCAGTAACTTGGTTTTGCTGATAGCCATTCACCTAATTTGTTAGAATGCCGTTTTAAATAGTTGTGCAAACAATTTGATCAAGAGAAGTGAAATAGCACAATTTGAGGAGCGGTAGCAGTATCAAAATGTATTCAGATATTGGGAAGACTAAAGCAAATATCAAAAATAATTAAAGCTTTAATTCTTTGGACCAGAGACACTTTTCAATTCCAAACCTCCTCATTCTTAACGTGTAAATCAGAAGATTGTGTTGGGAATAAACTATTATTTTAAAGCTCAAACACATTTCAGAATCAATAGCTTTTTATGTTGTGTTAAGATTTTTAATTTTCTTTTGGGACTAACTTACCTGATTTTTATCTAAACTATTCCGTTTCTGGTCCGATATCTGAGTCCCAATGTAGCTTGAAATTTGCTGGAAAGTATTGTCGATGGACTGCTGGTGACTGAGATAGGGATGTGTCAACGAATGATCCACAGATTCTTGTTTAACCATGGTTCTTTGGTTCCGTAATGCAGTCTGATTGTTCATCTAAAATCCAAACATGCTAGTTATGTTTTCTTTCAAAGTGTAAATATTTTGTTGGTCGTTTCGTCAATAATGCTGTCAAACAATAATTTTTGAGGAAGTTTAATTGGCCCCTTCATGAGGTAAAAAAAGTGCGGAGTAAAATATGCACTATTATAGCAATTAGATCTTTTCCCCCAGAAAAGTTGTAGTCTAGAAAAGAACCATATGCAAAAGGACTAATAAACTAAATAACACTAATCAAATATGAACAAGAACATTAAAACTGTAATTGCATAAGATACAGAAATGTTTTTATTGTCCATATATTTCGGAGGAAATTCTTACCATTGTAGTAGCGACTGATGTTGTCGAAGTCGTATCACATATTGCTTTGGTTTTGGAATGATGGTCTCCAAAGCTTTCAGGCACATGGGCTGCAGTTCTACTTTCCCCATCATCAACGATGGAAAACCTGGCATAGTCACTGTAAGGTATCGATTTTGCTTGATTGTACTGATTGCTGCTATTCACTGACGACACAACTGTCTCAAAAGAAGACTCCTTCAATTCATCATCTTTACTTTCTAAACTATCAGTGTTCTGGAACTGGAGTAGCGGACTATTGCTACCTAGTTGCTTTGAATAGTAACTATTAGTGTTTGTGTGTTGTGCGTTAAAATATATGCTATTAATGTTATTTGCGGTACTAGTTCTAGTTTCACTGACGGAAGGTTTTGTGGCGGCGAAACTTGTTACAAGATTGTCTTCTTCTGGAAGGTTGTCTTCTATGCTGCGATATGCGTAATTATAGTCTTCGTTATAGTTCTGAGCACTTGCCGCACCTGCAAAAGAAAAGGCAGGGGTTAAAATGGCACTTACTGCCCGAAATGAATGCAAGCCGAAATTAAATAAAACGCAATTTATTTTCTATTTATTGGTTTACGTCCGTCATTTTTTTCGTTTATTTCAAATGTTTCGTATGCAATGATGAACGTTTTAATTATGGTAAAAGCTAAAAGTAAGATTTTATGGCACAGCATTATAGATTGAAACTCAGTTTATATATCGTCGGTTTAAAGCTAAAAGTGACCAAGTCCAAAATTGCTGTTTTGGGTTTGTTGACCAAGTAATAAAAATATATATTTGTCTCAATGCCACACAAACGGGTGCACTAAAATATATTTTTAATGACCAAGTGTCCAAAAGGATTCTGATATAAATAATTTTTCGCTCGGATTAAAAGTTTTATTTTCCAGAAATGGATATTATAAACATGGTCAGTTTTAGCTTTAAGCCCACTCTAATTATTATAAGGTTTATTTTGGAACACGGTAAAATATCACAAATTGTTTATAACATTTTTGATAAACTTAGGATAAGATAGTGTATTTCTGCACGTCCGTGCTATAAACACACTTGCGAGATGCTTTTGTGGTAAGTAGGAATTGGAAGCCGAATATCTCCCTGACCTTGTGTAGATAACTTTACTGAAAATGTCTAATTATCGTGTACCATACCATAGAACTACAAAAAACCATGATGTTTAAAACTATGTTAGATTTCGGATTTATATAATTTGAATACCTAAATGTTTAAAGAATTAATATTAATCAGATTAGGTTCACTGCGAGGAAGGGAGCGTTACCGTCGTCAGCAAACAAACACCTTGAGCAATAGAATTTCGTACCCTTCCTCTCTCTCATCCGCACAGTTTATGTAATAATTATTTATAAGCTTAATTTGCTCGATCCGAAAATTTTTTCGGCACAATTTTCTCCCAACATTTCTAAAGAAATCTTAATATTGTAAAAAAAATTGCAATTGAGGCGTTTTGAATAAAAAAATCGATTTATTTCAATTCATAAGAGGCAGCAATTTATTCTTCTTCTTCTTCAGAAAGCAACAGTATAAAAACATTTATCACTAACTGAATGTAGAAAATTCCGCATCATTTCAAAATTGTATAGACTAGTTAGGTTGGTATAGACCAGTTAGGAAACTATTCACTTTTGCATCATTAATTACATAATGCTTCCACCACGCGGAATTAGATAGGAACATTACCAATCATTAATAATCATCATTAATAGATTGACTCGGAACTATTTTGGTCAAAAGCTGTCCTATAATTGGCGAGTATTATAAGGCGTTCAACCTGATTTGGTATAAAATTTGTCATGCTATCAATTCGACAGATCGAGCAATAGATTTAGATATGCTTTGGAATATTTCTTTACAGCAAAACAAAAAAGACAAATCCAAAAACAGGAAACTCTATACCAAGTAAAAATTATCTGTTTATTAAATGTGTGTACCTGCTGACTAAAAACTCCTCGCTTTCGGCACATGTATACACATACAATACTTGCGAATATGTTGACTAGATATAACCGTTGAAATGTAATTAATACTAGTTTATTCATCAGCCAGACACCCTGTATTCAGATGCATCTATACTCGTACATATTATCTATAAACACAGACGTAATTAAGTCGTGTTACATCAGATATTCGATCAGTAATTCCGCTGCATTATATATGATTATCAGCTGTACATGTGCATTACTGTGTACAGGAAATTCAGGATTAGCTTTACTTCTTCATTAAACCTTTTCACGCTGTTCGGAAATCTTCCATATTGTACTCAAAAATACGTTTTTTAATTGTCGCACATATTTATAGCTCAGGTATCGTATTATCAGTAAAGACCGCATCATAAAAAAAGTCCGAGTCAGTTTTAAGCATTAATTTCATTGGCTGACCATTGTGACTACGTACTGTAAATTATACTATGATACTAAATAATATAAAAATATACCTAGCAATTATAAAGCTCTTGGTAAAACTTCAGAAAAGTTCAGACGCCAGACGTACAACTCGTAACATTTGCGTGTCCAATATCTCAACTGAAAACTTTTTCCATAAGCTATGCTGAGTTTGAAGGAAACCGCAAATGAGAACAATGACCCTCAGAAAAACTTAAATAAATCGGGGCTAAAGTGGCTTTTCTTGACGGCGATATATTTCCCAATGTTATTAAATACATTATATCGCCAAGACGTGGGCCGAAAATTCATCATTCTCCCACGCATAGTCGGTTGGTAATCCTCAATTTGGAACATCTTTACTTCGATTAGCATAGCAATACCTCTCTGATGAATATGAATAGAATAATCATGTAAAGTAATAAGACCAATGTTTTCTCAGTGGTAGTTTAAATTAGGGATTAAGATGTTGAATTATTTATTTACTGCTGAAACAGCAATGACTAAAATTAATTTCTAAATATGTTTGCACCACTTCCTCAAGTTATTATTAAATTACATTGTTCAACTATTGATTCTTGACCCGTGCAGGAATACATAGATGAACAATATTTCTCCGAATCGGCCTTCTGCTCCTGTATTTAGATACATAAAAAAATTCATTAAATTAAGCATTATACAAACCAAACCATATAAAATAATAAACTCCTTGTTTGTCCATCACATTAAATATTTCATGGCTTTTTCAAATTACATAACAGGAACAAACTATTAAAATAAAAGCAAGATTAATAATTCATTTGGCCTTGTTTCAAGTTTCTGCAAATATACTTATGGATAATAGAATCGAATGGAAAACAAAAGGATCAAACTCCGTAGGGCACAGAAGTWATMAMASTAGAATTGAAAAGAAGTTTTAAAACMAAASTGTCMCWAACWTKKCTAGATGTAGAAATATAATCAGAACWYRAATATATGATCACACGGGTAAACAAAAGTGCTCTAACTGCTACACTTTAGCACATCAGCCATCAATTTATCATAATTTTATTTAAAAAAAAWAGTAAATTTGATGTTGAATGTTTTATAACCACTTTTATAAAATYAAAAATACCCTCTTAGAAATAGTATAAAACCACATAATGCAAAACTTTTACCCATTTTTWAAGATATTTGCGTGATTACCGGACAAATGAGRRACAACGTTTCAGTCYMAARTGTGAAAAAATTAATATTCCGTCACTTGASCATTGCTGAATGAATTCAAAACATATACCTAGAGATTAATAATTACAAAATTTCTAACAAACTATGGTGAGTTTTAAATGGACATTAATGGTGTTATTCAGTTTTCGGTTTTCTTCAAGAGCGAATTTGCTGATTGGATTTCATGTAACACGAAATATGAATCATAAAGACTTGCAGTATATGTTTTATGCTGCAATTAAGAGTCAATCCCAGAATCTGTAAAATTGGAAACTTCCTTTTAAATTTAACCAATCAAGGCTTGTTTTTATACTTTTCTTGATAAGTATGTTGCCCCGCTTGTCTCAATTTGTTCATAATGATATTTGTTGACTGACAAAAATTCGCAGTACTTTGATTATTATTTTCAATTCTTCTACCCATCCATGGTTCAAATCGTTCATTCTAATTTTATTAAAATTTTAACAAATAAGGCGACAAGCTCACCTGCTCTTATGTAGTAATTATCGTAAGTATCAGTTTCTCCATAGTCTGCAGAACTGGTTCTTTTCATCCGATTGTTCCGAATTGCTTTGGCACTGCGGTGGTTGGGATCCGGTTTCGGCAGCTGTCTGCCAGGTGTTGTTGGTAGACTGTTGAAAGCCGAATTTGCAGGAATTTGGACTTTTGCCAAGACCTTGCTACAATTGATAATAGTACAATTATCACCATTGTTTTTATATAATTTATCTCTAGTCGGTTTGGATTGACAAAAAGATAATTTAAGGCTGACAACATAAAAAAATATTGAAAACAAATAGAGGACATTTATCGCAAGACATTTTTTAATGCTTATTGATAATTGAGATTGAACTTAAATATTCGTTCATAAGCGAAATGCTACAGGATTTTATAATGAACAAGCATATGCACAGATCAAATATCTTGTTTGGTATCAGAAATGGTTTCTACCTCTATCTTCAGAAAGTCTCTCTTCAGTTCAATTAAAAATGTAATTGTTAGGGCAAATAGAACTTGCGCGATATTGCTGAGCTATTTCTATCTCCCAATCCCGGGAAAATTGTAATTTGCTTAAGTTAAAAGCTGAAAGGAATGTCGCCAATGTTACATTTCTAATTGGATTGAAACTTGCAGTTAAAGTTGGCTAATTTTTTAAAATGTTAACTAGAGGTATATATAAATAAAATTGCATTAGAATAAAAATAAATGTTTTATATGGAGTAGCAATGAATGAAAAGGCACAAGTGAAAAACCTCTGAGTGTTTTTATTACAAACATCTAGATACGATCGATACTTAATTGGCCCGGACATCCAATGATCTTAGTATCTTTAATCTTAAATGTAGTTCGAAAAAAGACTATCAGCAATAATAGGATTAGGTCTGAAAAGGGCACTACGTGTTCTGTCAGAACGTGCCAATTAAATTATAGCTTTTAAAAAAAGTTAAGCTTTTTTGCTTCTATTTGTTAGCGAAATGTGAAAGGAAATTCGATTAATCGATTGCTCTAAGAGCATTTCAAAAAGTTCAAATGGGAAGCTTTGAGCGTCAATTTGGATTAATTAGTAACTAAAACCAAGTTTCTGTTTAGCTGAGATTTAAAGATATTATGACTGGAGCATGAGCAAGTCGACGCGTTCTTTTAAAGCCTCATAGAGTCTTTACAAGCCCCAAAATAGTAAATTCTAAGTGAGAAGAAGCTAATAGTAATTTAAATCGAGGATAAAAATAAGCAGAATAGAAACGAAGTAGCTAATATCAACAAAATATTTTGGTAGAATGACAATTAATTCGCTCAGCATGGCAACAAAATATTTTATACCAAAAACACTTTGAAGGCTTGTATTTTTATATGCACTGCATATTATTTTACATTAGCAGCATCAATACTTGAATACATATGTTGAAATTTGTCAGTGACCGAATTATTAAATTGGTGAGACTTAGGAAACGATTTTAAAATTTATAAACGAAATATATTAAAATGTTAAAATTTTGAAGCTTGAATGTTGTTGAAAAATTTCATTTATCGATATTAGCAGTTGGTAGACAGCAGATAGAAAAACAGCTCAAGTTTCCAAGTTCTGAAGTAAAAAATGCAGAATGTGTAACACATAACAAGAGCAAACAAATAAATTTTCACAATCGGCAATCAAAAAGTAACGAAATTGCTATTAAGATAAATAAAAATTTCGTACCTGGAGCTCCTTGTTGGGGTTGGTGGAAGGCTAGCTCCTCGATGTGAAGGCGTCTCGAATGTTTTCAAATTATCTTCAGTGTACGAGCTTTGACGACTCGAACTCCGCTTAGTGGGAATTTGAGGCATTTTCCTTCTACCCAAAGGAGTTGTTATGGAAGGTCGGAAGTTATCATCGCCATATCCCATGTACCTACAAATATGTAGTTATTTTTATATAAAACTGTTATGCGGTTCTATTGTGCTTGTAACTTTTTTCAGAAAACTGTTGGCAATGGATTTTCCCCAATTGAAAAAAAATCCGATTTATTCCTGATTTCCCACATTAAAGTGTATCTTTGATGGCATTTCCATTACTTTGACACAGTTGTTCTTTAAAATAAGCACTGAATTTTGAATTAGCGGAAGTAAGAAAACGATTTACTGAAAAAAATTAAACACATTTTAAAAATGTAAACTAATAAACCACATATATTTCCATACGCAAATAAAGAGAATGCATTTTTGTGATTCGTAATAATAATCACCTGTGGGTTGATATATGATTCTGCTCGAACTCGTGTTTTTGTGATACCAAAAACTATTGGTTATAAATTACTGCCGTGGGTAATTTAAATTGTAATTTATTAAATAACATTGCAAACTTAACTATGCGTTTCCCTCTACGAAATCAATTCTATAAAGTGTGTACACACCAGCAAATGTTGGTTACAGAAAACGTAACCCTAAAACTAGAAAGGTACGTAAATATAATGAGACGAGAAACATATTCTAATGGGTCTTAGGAGCAATTTCTAATTAGAGCTATTTCCGTCTCATTTATATCACGCCCTTCGTAACTAGAACCTCTCCAACTGTAAAAGCATTAAAATCCATTACTATTCCATTTTGAGCTTAATTTTGTTTTCCGCGAATTTGCTACGACTAAGATTAATTTTAGCTAGAAAGCTTTCCTGGCTAGATTTACCAGTTTATTCTGTTTATGCAACAGTTAGCTAGGATTTTCAGCTCTTGTAGATAAATGGTTTCAACTAATCGCTAGTTACAAACAATTATTTAAAAGGAAATAATTACCTGTGTTGAAAGTAAAAATAGTTCAATTTTTCGTGGCAAAATAATTTAAACAACTGGCACAAGTTTAGATGTTTGTGATCTATTAAACATGGAAGTATCGAACGTCTCAAGGATTGAAGTAATATTCCTTTGCATTAACTTGTTTTTATAAATAAATGAGTTTTATAGTTTGATTAAAAAGATCAGTATTTAAATAGAATTTCAAATAGCGAAAAATCAAAAAATGTTTAGGCAGTTAGCACAAACAAAATATTTAGTCGGGAAGGTATTAGAATTGAAATTCATATGCACTAAATTAATTTTTGTTAGGAGTTGAGAATTGTTTGACTTAATTATAATATTTTTCCATTTTACTGTGTTAAAATCAAGTCGAATTTATAAGTCGATTAAAAATATCGTATTACTTTTAAATTTCTTGGAATAATTCAATTAAGAAAATGATTTTGTAAATGTAGTAAATATTCCACTATTTTAACATCTCTGAACCATACAGACTGCTATCAGCAGAACCATAATTTTTTGGCATATGTGTGGTGAGCAATACATTTCTATAAGAATATACAAATATATAATTAAGTGAGAGTGTAATTTTTCCGTGTTTCCTTCAACGAACAGGAATAATTTTAATCGCAAAATATTCCCATAGACGTATAATTGTTTTGGATATTTAAGCAAAATAAATTGTAATAAAACGAGTTTCAAGAATACATATATTTGATAAATATAAGCACGCTGAAGCAAAATAAATAGAAAAATTCAAACGAGATACGATTTAGTACTTAGGTTTTTTTACAAGTGATCGTTACATAATAGTTAATGAGTTAGTCTAAATGGTTCGGTTAATAGGAAAAATGTTTTAAGTAGATTGTTATTTTACACTTTCTAAGACATTTAGAAAAAGTTGCAACCGTTAACAAAAATATGTTTTATAGATAAAGATACATAGAAGACATTTGAAAGCGTTGCGAGATTTCATGGATTTTTATGGGAAGTTATTCCAAATTGTTAACGAACCAAATATGCAATCCATACGTACTCTCGGTTCGAAAATGCTGTATTAATAGTCGATCCTAATATTTCGGTTTTTTAGGTGCCGTTACAGAAATATTCTGGATGATAATTAAAAACCTCTTGAAATGTCATTAATAAAATTAGGTCAAACGCACAGCTTCAACTTTTCCTTCCCCTAAATATCCAACGAAATGGAAACGTATGAAAGAGATGTTTCATCACTTTGCTGTATGAGCTGAACAAAAGGGACTAATGAGGAAGACAAATTGCCTACGTTTTCCAACAACGTCGGCACGCTTTCAATCGGAAAAATTAGAACAACAATTTGCTTGAATTATTAAGCGAATTAGAGCCATGATTTAGTACTGAAATGCTCAAAGGAACAGATCCTGTTGTAGACTTTAAAGAGACGTTTCAATTTAAGTATGATTATTAGATTGTGAATTTTTTTTATTGCGTTCTATAAAACGCAAAATGAGTAACACTGAGAAATATGCAATCAGTTCATTTTCCTTGATGTGAGCATAAATCAGCAACATCTTCTTCGGTATATTTTTAGGACAATTTCAGGACATTTTTTATTTTGAAAATGTTTTGAAGAAAGGGAATATTGAACACTGCTGAATTCTGGAGACATTCTGAACGAACTTTGCGTCGAGAGTGAATTGCTAATTCAAACAAAAATATGGACTTATGGGCAGTAAAATTGGTGAACTTTGAACAAATTCATAACTGTTTACAACCAAATACAGCAGTAAAATTAGAAAATCTGGTCAAAGACTATTTGATTTGCTTCATGGCAAGTAAAAACTGGCAAGCCTCAAATTTAAAAGAAAATTTTTCCATTAAATACTGGAACTATAACCATCAGTTCTACTTCCTGAATCGCATGTGGTAAAATTGCTACAAAACAACCAATAAATTTGCACAAATTTACATCAATCGCTGGAAAAAACGACAAATACTGTGATGTGAACGAAATATTGTCGTTTAAAAATTACAGTTGGAATTATTCAATCAAACTGACTAATATATATCTAAAGTAGTAGCAAAAGTGAAAAATTAATTGTAATATTAGCAGTAAAGTTTGTTTAAGTAAAAATTGAAAATATTTAGGACCATTCTTCTCTAACTGAAATTTTAATGGAAAAGGTTGTTCTAGACTACAGCTCAATCTGCTAGCAATAAATTAAAATAAATAGTAAATAAATAAATAAAAAATTAGTTTTTTGAACAGTCAGGTACATATACAGGTTATAATTCGCATAACAAAGCTAACGTAATATAGGTTGAATTAATTGAGCTCAAACGTTACGTATTTGTTGGCTATTTTAAAAGAAGATGAACAATCCGCAGATAAGCAAGACAATTAAATTCAACTTTTGAATTTTGGCCGCCAGATTTCCAGCGTATTTGAATGCAAAAATGGGTCAAATAGAGGAAACTACCATAAACGTTACGTTATGAAGCCTTTCAGTGTAAATAATGGTGTACCTAGGTTGGTCGTTTGCGAGTAGATAGTTCACAGAAACAGTTCTATTCAAAGCGCAGAAATATTAAAACAGTTTCAAGGCGGGCTGGCTAGACTTAAAATTGAGAACAATGGGTGAAATGCATGAACATTTATTAAAGAGAAATCGTGCAGATTTTCGCATTATTCCTGAAACTTTAGACAATAGCGACGAGGTCGGGAGACACATCTGTTATCTTCAACTTCAACAATTTAATTCACTTTATAGCGCTTAGTAAATAATTAACAAAATCAGTTTCTTACCCTTCATCCATCGCCGCTGTGGATGACCTCCGCTTGTGCCCTTGTGCTAGAGGAATTGCGGGCAGTTTTTTACCAGATTTTCCCGCAGATTTGCTCATTGGAACAGTTTCATTGTAGACGTTCCCTCCCGAGTCCCATTGGCGATCCTCTTGGTCCTGCCCGTACATTTCTTCTTGAAAGGGAAATGAAGAGCTGTCGTAATATTCATCGCAGCTTTGGTTCTGATTGAACGAAATGGAACTAAAAGTTTAAAAATTCATTAGGCTAAAGCATTTTACATAAATGAAGTTAACTTGCCTGCTAACGTAGTTAACTTGAGTGACTTCAGCCGCTGTATAAAACGTGGTTTGGCCAGTGTCATAACATGCTGCATCATCATATAAAGTCGTTTGTCTCTCCAAACTTGGTCTCCTCAACGCTAGAACAAAATTTCGGTGTATTATTAAGAGAGGGTGTTACAAATAGAAAACGTGATCCAGATCAAAAGGGAAACTTTATGTCCTGCCTATCTACAAAATCTTAAATGTGTATAATACTAAATTTCTATGAAAAATTCCGCAAATTGAAATACAAATGGATTCAGTTTTTGAAGATTATCAGCATAATCAGCTTTCGTTGGGTAAATTTTTCATTTTGCATTTTGAGTGGTAAATTTTATGCACTGCATTTAATTATATTTTACAGCAATAGCTTTAGTTATGGAGGCACGCAATTTAAAATTTTAAACTATTTTTTGTATTTTATTGTCCAGAAGCTGATTCCTAAATCTACAAGGTTCACTTTTCATTTTTTTCATTTTGAGATTTTGTATTGGTGTATGCAAATACTCTGTAGAAAACGGTTTTATTTTAATATGTAGTACGAATTTACGTCTTTCCGTTATATTTACAAGCAACCCGAAGAGAAAAAGCCTGAAGAATGTAGAGACATTCTTCAAGTGGCCAACGCTGATTTTATGTTTAGTATTAGTATTATGAATTGGAAACTGCAAAAAACACTTTTCTTTGAGTATCCCGTGAAGCTAATTGCAACGTTGGAAATGTTGTGGGAGATGGAAAAATCGTAAAGCTATCAAAAACCATTTAATTATAATCACATGTGTCGAAAACTTAATTAAGTTTAATTCAATTGGAAGGTCTTTTTGTTTATGTTATACATATTATAAGAACTAAGTAAATAAATAGTACTATAACACTGGAAAATAAATCAACCAAAATTGTGAATGGACAATCTTCCGGCATGAAATTTTTTTCAGGCATGAGTTCTGGCATTCTCCTACTGACTTTCCATTAGCTATATTGGCGGGGTGAAGTAGTTTGTTCACACAGAACTTGCATTTTCCTTTTCATAAAGGTGTTCAGAGGTTTTTTGCTTACTGCTGCGTTGCGCTTCATTGTCTATTAGTTGATAATGATCGTCTTTTTCTGAGTCGCACAAAAACCAGTATCAGATTTGGAATCGCACTTTCGCGCATATCCAGAGTCTGTTTCGGAATATCCCAGACTTATGTGATACTCATTAAGACTTTGGTAAAGAAACTTTAACTTTAGTCAGTCTGATGGCATTTTGCCTGTCTTCCATTTCTGCAAATAATTTTGGTTTTGCCGTCCTTGTTTCCTGAATATATTTTTTTCGAATATTTCTGAACACTCTCGACTAGTCGGTTGCCTGTGGCATTACATCAGATTTATGATTCGTCAAGAAGTGCTTAAATTTACAACATGTATATAGCAAGTTTCCCTCCTACTTGCAGAAGCATTATTTTGCCCAAATTGTACCTAAAATGTGTGTTCTACAGTTTTTTCTCTCTCTTGTAGACCCATATGACCGATATTTGTCTCCTGCTTCAGAGAGATTATAAAAAAAAATTGTGCCCCAATTGGGATGAAGCATAGCAAAAGAACAGTATATAGTGAACCAAACAGCCTGCCACTGGAAAATCAGGAAAGAGTAAAAAACTTCAGCGGTAGACAATATAGGAAACACGCACAAAGTTCTGGATTCTAGGTCTAATTAAAAATCGCATATTAGTTTTAAACAACCCCATTTTTCTACTGCAACAACAAGGTTGTCGGGTAACCACAAATAAACTACTGGTGAATTGCGTCTATCAAAGTCACAGTTCCAAAAATTCATAAGTTTTGCAATTTACCTTCGTGCGCCTGTTTTTGAATAATGACGAAAGGCGTTCAACGCGAAGTTGCAAAAGAAAAGACCGGAAAGAAACAAAAAACTGGTAAAAAGCCCAAAGGTTAGTTGTTGGAATTAAGCAAAATTTATTATGCTCCATTTTCGTATCATAAAATAAGGTAACATTCACTGTTCGGTAATATTATATGCCGGGAGTCCTATTCAAAGAGACACCAAAATTCTACAAATTTTTTATTTAGTCGTCGAAACGTCCTTTAGTCGTCGACTGCAAGAAAAATCTACTTGTTTGAGTAAAAAATTTCATGTTTCAAATTTAGTAACTATTTTAGCTGATTTGTATTGACATGAAAATTCTGTATATGGTTTAAATAAGATATAAAAGTGCTAATTCACGGCAACACATTTTGAGCTCTACATTCCAGTTCCCAGTTGAGCTAAACTAAACTGAAATTGTTATTGTCTCAGTATTTCCTATCATTCGACAATTGGAAATTCTAAAAGAAAATTCAAGCTTATACACGGTGACTGATTGACTCCAGTCCTTATATTTATTTACAGATGAACTACCAGTAGAACAAAAGAAAGCGAAGGATGTGGTCGCACTTCAGACCAAACAAAACAAAACCGAAGTACCTTCATCGCAACCAGTTAAAGAAGTTAAAACTGCTACAAAGAAAGCAGCGAAAGCAAAAGCAACGAAACTATGAAACTTTACCGACATGACTTTATGATAACATTATTGGTGAAATAAATTTTATTTCACATTATTCATTGCTGCTTTATTAGTCACATTATTCTATCAGATTTAATGGCAAGCCGCTTAAAATTTTAAGATTTTCTGGTCAGCTTTTGCCATAACCAAAAAACTGAAAAAATGGGGAAAAATGGGGTGTCCAAGTTAAGGATGCATTGCATAGGGATCTCCAAAACCGTAAAAGATACAAAGTCGGTTAAGTTACGAAAAGATCTGCAGTTATCGCTTTTGTCACGTTTATTTAATGCCTACAATGCACAAACTTAAATTTTACACATAACAGTAATTGGTCCGAAAGAATATCAAGCAGACGCTGGCAAAATGCATTTGCAAAACTCGAAGAATACTTATTGTTCACATTTGAAAGCACTCCTAATATGTAACCGATACCACTAAAGCAGGAAAATTGTGGTAAATTAAAAGAAGCTGTTAAGTACCTTTCTTAACTGCTGCTTGAATTCCATAACAAACTGGATCCACAGATAAAGCAGCATCCACACTATCCATGCTTTGGTTGTAGAAAGAGCTTTCGCAGCTCTGCCAGACATCTTGACTGCAAATAAAACAGTTTCAGTACTTAACACGGAAATATAACTAAGCTGTATAAGAGTGGGTAAAATTATGTATTGCAAAAGTATTGACAATTAGATAGTATGGCACTGTATATTAGTGTGAAACTAACAAGTTGGTATTGGTGAATAAGCTGCTAAGCTTGAAATAATGTGCCTAGAATAGTGCGTAGGAGTGAAGAAGAATCTAGATAGCGTTTACTACTATGTTTACCTTTCTTCGCTTTCCCTTTGATAATTTCGCCGTCGGCTTTAAAGAGAATTATCAAGTCAATATTTGAGTACCAATTAGTATCTAAGGTTTTACAATCAAGTTGATATTGAAGCATCATGGACTTTATATTGTAAGGGATGAGTATTTTCTTAAAATGTYCATTYATTATTTCAGTGCTCGTTAAAGCTTTGAATAAACCATTGAGCATTAATTTGAGATCGAAATTAAGAGTAGCTGATTAAATATAAAACGTTCTACGGGAACCGAAGTTRATCGTGGTATTTTCATTTCAATCGAACATCGGTCATATTTCAAATTATAGAGCTGACYGCACTGAATTATCAATATGATGTTAACAATTTAAATGCGGTCGTGGTACAATAAGAGAATATTTTGGACATTTTTTTTTKAGTATTATCAAAGAATTTGATTTCTGGTTGATGAACARTCGAGGTTTTCTACTCGCCTTGAAATATAAGCAATAATAAAATTATTTATAAGTTTAACGTAAAAATTGGCGAAAACCTGTATCTATTTAATAACGCTTTAYTGAAGATGTCACAGTAATATATGATCCCCTCGTCTAGAAAAGTTTTCCTCTACTCCGTTTTTCGGAGCATTTGGAACCAATAAGTTAGCTACTACGTCACCGCAAATGTTGACACTCCAGCTGTGTTGAAAAGGAAACTCAGCTAATACGAAGACTCTCTATCTATTTACTACACCATTTGTGTGGAATGTGTGTTCATCTTGGAAATGATAATGAAATTAACAGGTATTTTGTACCAAACATAATTCGTTTTCAGAAGAGGACCTACTCAGTTATACCTAATTAAACGAGAAAGTGTCAAATTTATCAATTAAAATGCAAGAACGCAACATTAACAGAAGTGATATGAAAGCGCTAAAATGGGCTGTTAGAAAATGTAAACTGAATGTCTACAAATAAATGGTTGTTTTTGTTTTGTTGCAAATTGTTTGCTGTTGTTGTGCGTGGCGACTGATGCGTCCAAAAATAATACAATAAAAACAATACAAACCGTTAAAAAAAATGGTAAAAAATGTAAAGGTTATTACTGTGAAATTGGGCAATTGGTGAAAGACCTATTACCTAATAGAAGCAAATATACTTAATTGTACTTATTAATTTGATTTTTTAATAAACAAACAAGTTTGAAAATGTTGATCTTAGAACCTAAAGAATTGAACACCAAAATTAAATATTTTATGTAGTTTAATACCAATATGGATTATCAAACCTTGAAGAATGGAGGCCTTACCAAGATATAAAAGCATCAAGCAAAAGTAATTATTTAGAAAAATGCTGTTTGATTGCACAACATAAAAGCGCCACGTACTGAGATAAAAAATCTGTTATCAAGTCGATATTCGGCATCGACCTATATAGAAGAGAAAAGGTGGACAATCCCTTATAAATCTCTGCTTTGATGTTCCACAACTCCTTTTTTTATTGCACTGATTTAAACCGCGTTTGGACGGATATAGTAAATCGTAAACTTAAACGATTAATAATATTTTCAGTTCCATTTCACCGAAAGGTTATCAAGGTTCAATCAATAAGGGCAACCTTGTCAAATAAACTAATTTGCATCCTCAAACAAAAAGAAACGAAATTCCCATGAAGGAAATATGCAAATGGTGAAGTATCGTAAATAGAAAGGTAAAAGTGCTTAAGATATCTGAAATCTAACAGAGTAAACGGAAAGTTTGTTAGAAGTTTCAAGGTTCCCGTATAGCTTTTGTGTGTGCATAATTAATCTAGTATGGGCACTTAAAACTTAGAACGTTTTAATGTGAAAGACCTAGAAGTTTAATTGTATGGCATAAATCATAACAAATATAGAACACATTTTCATTTAATAGATAGATTTAACTAGATACGCATATTTTTACAAACGTTATGCTTAGTCAAGTTTATCGAGTGAGTTTTCACTTGGTGAGTTTGGAATCAGTGCATCGAATGGTAAAATAGTCCCAGTGAAGTTACGCATTTGCACTACGCGTAGTGATTGTGAATTTTTTCTATATTCCTCCAATATTGTCAGTCAGACAACATCTTCTGGTTTCGAAATGTTCAGTCAAACATTAACGTAAATATTTCCAAACCCTTCGGACGCGCCAATATAGCCATATGTCACATACAACGATATGTCCCGATGCCTGAGACAGTTTCCTACTTCTCTATAGAGTAAATATTATCAGTTTCTCGTACCTGAAAATATCTGGTTTGCTTCTGGGCCTGCTGTTATAAAACAACGGATCCGAGTCGATGTTGTTCTCCGCATAGTGGCGCAAAGTCCCTCCTGGAATATTGCTGCTGTAGGAATTGTAGTCGTCAATGTTTGGAGAAAACCTCTAAAATCAAAAGACACCAAATTTTACGTTTTTCAAATCAAATTTAATGGATGTTCAGACGTGATGCCAAAGCAAATCGATACATACATAATCTTGAATTGTGAAGAGATGGAAAACAGGTTTAGTGTAGTATACAATGTATTCAATATAAAATGAGCCAGTATATCCACTACTGAAGCTGGTTAAATGAGGAAAATGATGAGGAATTAAAACACTATATGACCTATTAACTGACTTTTTGGGAACAAAACAAGATTCTCTAATTTCACCAGTATGGCTCTCTTTTTGGGGTTGGTGTGTAGCAACAGCAACTCGAGTTAAAGACTCGACTAACCATTTTTTGCTTTAACGTATTATTTTTAAGAAACCATAATATATTTTTTAAAGTTCAGTTTTATCTTTCCTCTTCAACGGATTGTGAACATGGACCTGCTTTTGAAATTCTGGTTTTTCAATCGTATTGCGACCAAGATAATAATTGAATTTAGCAAAGAAGCTTGGCAGTCAATAAAAAATAATTTGTGAAAAATTTAACTTTTTAAAGCACAGCCGAATTTTCTGATTATTAATTTAGAAACCTAGTCAAAACCTATGTAAATGTTAATATGTTACAAAATGTCAAATTCAGCAGACGCGAGTTCCTAAAACTTTCGAACGAACAAACAAACATGTTCATATTTTCATCAATTATTGACGATCTAATTAAAACTAAATGGCTGAATGCCAGAATTCAGTAGGTGGTTTTTAAACGGAATTAAATGGCTGCAAGATAGTGGAGTCAGTTCTGATCCGGATTTGATATTAGAGCAAAAAACACTTGACTGAAAATTACAGTTACAGTACTAAATTAATTCTTATGTAGCTGGTATCCACGTAGTCATAACTTCTTTTGTATTCCCCGCCGTGTTTATGTCTAGTTTTTTAAACTAACGACAAAATAATGACAAAATTGATGGCAATCGATATTAATATAACTTTCTTATAGGCCAAAAATAGGTTGTACGTGAAAAATAGTTTTGTCCGATTCAATAGCTTGCTTTATAAACTGCTTAAAAGAGGCAGCGAACTCCCAAAAGACATCAGCACACAGGCAAAATCTATAGTCGACACGTTTATATAGTCGACACGTTTATATAGTCGACACGTTTATTCGACTGGAAATTTTTAAAAATAACTTCTAAACACGCGTTCTTTTATTCAGTTAAAGCAATGCTTCGGATCGCAGATGTCTTATTGTCTTCCGTGATTTAAGCGTTTTAAATATTTTGAATGGAGTGTTACAACAAGACGATATTAAGGGGTAATGGGACGCCACTGATGCGTAAAAACAAACATTTTTATGAAACAAACACGGAAGTGTGAAAATTTATATAATTTTCGGGGGTAATTGCACAAGTGCTTCAAAATTACCGATAATTTTGCATGAAAGCTTGTTGTCTAAAAACTACATGAGTTTATTTTCATATTGTGGCGAAAAAGCCCGACTCCGAAGGAGGACGGCTTTTTCGTTCCAATGTGAAAATAAGCAAATGCAGTTTTTACAAGACAACAAGCACGAGTGTAATTTTTCTGAATATTTCCTGAGTAAACAAAGTTAATGTGGTTTCAGTTTATTACTTTGATATTCTATTAAAAGTTACACTATTATTGCTGCCATTATTGTCTAAAAAAGCCTATTCTAAAAGTTGCAAGAGCTGCAATTAAA